GAGGTAACTGATTGGAGATCTTCTTCAGTGTAGCCATTTACAGCTGTGCATGTCCTTCTGGTCACTGCTTTTGCTGTGTCCATCAATTTTGGTATGTTGTGTTTTGTGTTTTTTTGGTTTTTAGACAGAGTCTCGCTCTGTCGCCCAAGCTGGAGTGCAGTGGCACCATCTTGGCTCACTGCAACCTCCGCCTCCCAGGCTCAAGTGATTCTCTTCCTTCAGCCTCCCAAGTAGCTGGGACTACTGGCATGCTCCACCACACCTGGCTAATTTTTGTATTGTTAGTAGAGATGGGGCTTTACCATGTTGGCCAGGCTGGTCTCCAGCACCTGACCACAAGTGATCTGCCTGCCTCAGCCTCCCAGAGTGCTGGGATTCCAGGGATGAGCCACCGCGCCCGGCCAGTGTGTTATGTTTTTAAGTGATTTCTAGCTTCATTGCATTGTGGCTAGAGATGTCAGCCTTTTTATGTTTATTACAACTTGTTTTGTGGCTTATCTTGGAGAACGTCCCGTGTGCCCTGGAGAAGATGGTATGCTCTGTTCTGCTGGGCAGAGTGTTCTGTGTATATGCCTGTTTGGTCTTGTTGGTTTAGGCTGTTGTTCAGGTCTTCCATTTCTCATTGATCTCCTTTTTTGGAGACTGAGTCTCGCTCTGTCACCCAGGCCAGGCTGGAGTACAGTGGCGCGATCTTGGCTCACTGCAAGCTCCACCTCCTGGGTTCACGCCATTCTTCTGCTTCAGCCTCCCGAGTAGCTGGGACTACAGGTGCCCGCCACCTCGCCCAGCTAATTTTTTGTATTTTTAGTAGAGACGGGGTTTCTCCATGTTAGCCAGGATGGTCTTGATCTCCTGACCTCGTGATCCGCCCGCCTCAGCCTCCCAAAGTGCTGGGATTACACACATGAGCCACTGCGCCTGACCCTAGATGGTCTATCCATTATTAAGTGGTGTGTTTCAGTCTCCAACTCTTACTATAGATAGAACTGTTTGTTCTCTGTCCCTTCCATTCTGCCAACGTTTGTACATTTTAGGGCTTTCTTATTGGGTGCATGTTCATAATTTTTACATTTTATAGATGAACTGACTCTTGCCGTATATAATGCTGTTTCTTGTAACTTTTTTTTTGGTTGAGGGTGGGTGTGTCTCACTTCGTTGCCCAGGCTGGAGTGCAGTAGCACAGTCACAGCTCACTGCAGCTTCCACCTCCTGTGCTCCAGTTATCTCCTCCCGCCTCAGCCTACCAGGTAGCTAGGATTACAGGGGTGAGCTACCTTTCCCGGCCCTTCTGACAATTTTTTATTTAAAATCTTCTCTGGCCAGGCGTGGTGGATCACGTCTGTAATCCCAACACTTTGGGAGGCCAAGGCAGGCGGATCACCAGAGGTCAAGAGTTTGAGACCAGCTTGGCCAACATAGTGAAACTCATCTCTACTAAAAATACAAAGATTAGCCAGGCATGGTGGTGGGCGCCTATAATCTCAGCTACTCAGGAGGTTGAGGCAGGAGAATCACTTGAACGCGAGAGGCGGAGGTTGCAGTGAGCTGAGATCACGCCACTGCACTCCAGCCCAGGCGACAAGAGTGAGACTCCATCTCAAAAATACAAAAACAAAAACAAAAATTAGCCAGGCCTGGTGGCAGGTGCCTGTAATCCCAGCTCCTTCGGAGGCTGAGGCAGGAGAATTGCTGGAACCTGGGAGGCAGAGGTTACAGTGAGCCGAGATTGCACCACTGCACTCCAGCCTGGGCAACAGAGCAAGACTCCATCTCAAAAAATAGAAAACTTATCTAATGTGAGTATAATAGTCACCTCAGCTCTCTTTAGGTTACTCTTTGCCTGGGTTTCTTCATCCTTTCACTTCCAGCCTGTTCGTGTCTTTGAACGTCTTGCAGATCGTGTGGTGACAGCATGGAAATTGTCTTTTCGCCCACTTTGCCAAGCTGCCTTTCATTGGAGAGATCCATTTGCTTTCAGATTACTGATAAGGAACTACCTCTGCCATGTTTTTGGTCCGTCACGTTCTCTGTTGCTGCCTTTGTGTGTAGTTGACTTTTTTGTAGTATGTTGCTTTGGCTCCCTTCTCATTTTTAGACGTTGTCTTAGGGTCACTGTGGTTTTGAGACAGCTGTTTTCCAGAGTTGGGGAGGATCGCAGTGTCTGTCACAGTTGGGCCTTTTGCAGGCTGGTGACAGCCTCTCCTCAACACTCGCTAGCTCCTAAAGCCGGCAGTCGTGACTGACGATGTGAGGGCCAGGCAGCAGCCTCTGTGCCTTCTCGGTGTTAGCCCACTTCACAGGTGACTTGCAGGGCCAGAGCAAATGGCAGCCGCCTGGGCGGTGGATGGGTGGAGGAGTGGGGTGTGGAGGGCTCAGGAGTCCCCAGACCAGTGCTGAGCAGGGCTCATGTGGCACCTGTGCTGGGGGCAGCGTTTGGGTCCATGTGGGTCTCTGTGGCATCCTTGCTGGGTGTGGGTCCGTGTGGCATTGTGCTGGGGTGAGGGTGTGGGTCTGTATGGCACCTGTGCCAGGTGGAGGGTGTGGGTCGGGGATTGTGTGGGTCCGTGCTGGGGTGGGGGTGGGGGATGGAGCATGTGGGTCCATGCAGCACGTGTGCTGGCGGGGGCGAGGGTTGGGGGGCTCTGTACGGCACCAGGACAGGGACCCTGGGCCTTCTGCTTCCAGCTCCCTGAGCAGCCTGTGTTCCAGGTGCTGACTTCACAAACACCTTCTTCTTGCTGAGCTCCTTCCCAGTGGAGCTGGAGTCGCCAGGCCTGGCGGAGTTCCTGGCCAGGCTGATGGAGCAATGTGCCTCCCTGGAGGAGCTGAGGCTGGCCTTCCGGCCCCAGATGGATCCCCGGTGGGTACTCAATTCCTGCTTCCTTGGATTTGTTTCCAGAAAGGGAGGCACAATCAGAAACAGGCCGGAGGAGAAGCTGGAGGCAGGGCTGGCTGGTGCCCAGATGGCTGCTCCGCTCCCAGGGACAGGCGCAGTCAGGGCGTCTCTGTGGTGCTGGGGCCCGTTGGTCACAGAGGAGAGGGCGGCGAGGCTGACACAGGTGTGGGGGGAGACCGTGGTCTCGGCTGTGGTTGGGCTTCAGGGAAAGCCTTTGGGTTTCCAGGGAGGATGGGCTCCCAGAAGTCAAGCTTTCCCACACCATCTTCCAAACGGAAGGGCCGTCCCGTCTGAAGAGTCCCGCCCATGTGCAGGCTGAGACGCGGAAAGTGTTGCTGCTTTTAACTTAAAAAACAAGACTAGTGGGGTTGGGTGGGAGCGCCGGCCAGCAGGCCCTGCTGAGCGTGAAACCCCCTCCACTGGAGAAAGGGTGGCCCCAGCCCACCTGGACCCTTCTGGAAATGAGGGAAGCGCTAATAGCAGTGCCCGACCCACAAGCATTAAACTCTGGAGGCGGAGACTCTCCAGCAGAAAGCTGGGCAGCAGAGCATGGACATGACTGGTGTGTGTCCACTGGGTCCATCCCTGCTAGTGGAGTTCAAGGGACCTTGGGGACTGGGCTGCTTGGGCCCTTGGACTCCAGGTGAGCCGTGAGAGCAGCCTGGGGCAGGAGGAGCAGCTGCCTGCGGGGCAGGGACACGGTCAGTGGCTACCTCCCAGACACCCTGGCCTCTCCACAGGCAGCTATCCATGATGCTGATGCTGGCACAGTCAAACCCACAGCTGTTCGCACTCATGGGCACCCGGGCAGGCATTGCCAGGGAGCTGGAGCGTGTAGAGCAGCAGTCTCGGCTGGAGCAGCTGAGCATGGCAGAGCTGCAGAGCCGGAACCAGGGCCACTGGGCCGACTGGCTGCAGGCGTACAGGTGAGCCCTGCGTCCACGGTCACCTGGTGGGGGGCGCTGCTGGGGAAGTCCAGCCCGGCTGTGATTCTAGAGCCCGACTGTCATTCCAGAGCCCGGCTGGACAAGGACCTGGAAGGCGCCGGGGATGCTGCTGCCTGGCAGGCTGAGCGTGTGCGCGTGATGCACGCCAACAACCCCAAGTACGTGCTGAGGAACTACATCGCGCAGAACGCCATCGAGGCTGCCGAGCGAGGGGACTTCTCAGAGGCAAGCACAGGCCTGTCCCTGTGGTCCCTGGGATGGGGGGCTGGCCCCGGACCCCTCTCACCCTCACGATCCTCCAGGTGCGGCGGGTGCTGAAGCTACTGGAGAACCCTTACCACTGCGAGGCGGGGGCTGCCACAGATCCCGAGGCCACGGAGGCCGACGGGGCGGATGGCAGGCAGCGCTCCTACAGCAGTAAGCCCCCGCTCTGGGCAGCCGAACTGTGTGTGACATGATCTTCGTAATGGCCTCGGCACGCGCTCCACACCCCTGGAGCCTCCCGAGGCCTCCGTGTGCTGCTGAGTGGCCAAGACGGTGCGGGGCTGCCCTCTGCACTGGAGGATCCTGCCTGGGCCCATGCACACCTGTCTTTCCATGATGGCAGAGACATCCAGTCAGGACCTGACCCGTCTCTGTCTGAGGCCAGCTCAGCAGTGCAGCCTGGTCCCTGGGGGCTGGACCCAGGCTCCTAAATAAACCAGCAGCTCCCTCAGGCCCATCTGTGGTTCTTCTTCCCCCACCCTGCCCTGCCCTCAGCCCCGCCCAGGAGAGAGATGCAGACAGGGTCTGAGGACACCTTTATTGTGCATGTCCCCTGCAGAGCAGCCTCAGGTGTCCTGGTAGTAGTTGTTGAAGTTGATGCGCAGCAGAAAGTCCTCCAGGTGGGGCTGGTAGCCGCGGTTCACCAGCTTGGTCACCACTAGGGACCCGTGAGCTGCTCAGGCTTCTGCCCATGGTGGGAGCCCCGCCCTGCCCCCCCACAGCCCTCCCAGCCAGGGTGGGCCTCACCTTTGAAGAGAAAGTGGGAGTAGTACTTGAAGGTGTTGTAGGACTGCTGCATGAGTGCAAAGTTGGGGTGCTCTGCACCCCGCGGGCCCCCAGCGGGGCCCCAGGCTTGGGAGATGAGCTGGCTGCGGAACTTGAGCACGAGGCTGAAGATGCTGTGGATGACGTTCATGACAGGCGCCGCCTTCTCCGTGAGCAGGCCCCTGCGGGGAGGCAGTGCTGCTGGGTGGGCTCAGCCGCGACCACAGGGACGCAGCTGCTGCCCGGGCCTCACCTGAACACGGCCTTGTGCAGGTACTCTGCATGTGCACGCTGGATCTCCTCCAGGTCGCTCACGGTGGCCAGCCTGGCCCTGAACTCGCACCAGGTGACGTGCAGGATCTGGTTGGCGATGTAGCCCTGGATGACCTTGACGAAGTGCTGCATTTCATGCTTGAACAGCTGCAGCTGGCGGAACTGCACGGAGCTGGCCATGTGGCTCAGCAGGGCTGGCAGAGGGCAGAGGGCAGAGGTGAGCGCGGCCTCAAGCCAGGGGTGTGGGGCGCCGAGCTCCAGTGGGGCCTCACCTGTGCGCTTGAGGTGGAAGCAGATATCCTTGAGCGCCCACATCATGAGCTTCAGCTGCAGCAGGAAGGAGAAGACGCCGCTGTACTTGCTCAGGCAGCCGTCAGTGATGACAACATTGAGCGGCCAGTCCACCTACAGGGATACATGGCTCAGCAGGTGTCCCACGGGCAGCCCCTGTCCCATCCCCGTGGCCGGGGCTGCTGCTGACCTTGTACCTGAGCTCCAGGCAGCTGAGCACATCTGGGGCGTTGGGGGCAAACACCTCGGGCAGGTACTTGAGGGCGAGGGAGAGGTTGGAGGCGTGCGGGGTGTCCCCATGCAGGCTGCACTGCAGGGCCTTGCTCAGCACAGAGTTCAGCACCAGCGGGTTGAGCAGCTCCCCGGGTGTCTGCCCGGCCCCAAGCTGGGCAGAAAAGGGACCAGTGTCCCCAGGAATCCCAAGCACATGCCTGGCACTCACTGGCGCCCCATGGGGCTGTGGGCCTGCAACCAGTCTCCCCTTTCCCATGGCCTCCCCTCTACCACTGGCCCCACTCCATGTCCGGAGGTCACCTTCTCAAAGAGGAGGTCGCTGAGGGACTGGGCGAACTCGCCGTCCTCCATCAGCAGGAAGTGCCGCAGCGCCTCATAGTGTGCCTCCAGGTGCAGCTCCACAAAGAAATAGTCGACGGCAGCCTTGTTCACCAAGGAGATGCTGGCAGGAGGGAGCTGGAGTCAGGGCGGGCCAGGACGGGCTGGGTGGGCAGGCTGGGGCGGGGGCACTCACTGGGCGGCCAATGGTGCCGTGATGGAGTGCTTCATGAGCACGGGCAGCGTCAGCAACTCGCTCAGCTGCACGGCAGTCTCATCCGCGGCAGACTGGACCTGGGGGTCCACGGGAAAGGCGAAGGCCCGGGGAAGCACAGGGCGCAAAAGGTGAGCGATGGGTGGCTCAGCTGCAGGAGATGGAGCACATACTGGGAACCGGTGGCCCAGGGCTCCACCCCCGCCCACAGGAGATGGAGCAAGTGCTGGGAACCGGCCAGCCCAGGGCTCCCTGCCAGCAGTAGCTGCTGCACTCACACATGGACTCGTAACTGTCCGGGTACCGCTCCAAGTGGTACTGCCCTGCCAGGCCTGCCAGGTAGGCCTGTTCACCGCCCTGAGCCTCCGCCGCCACTGCCGCCTCCTCACCAGGGCCTGGGCTGCTCTGGGCAGCTGCGTTTTCCTAACAAAACACCAGCCTCAGAACCACCTCCCCACCACACGCTTCCACAACTCCCAGCTCGAGCCAAAAAAAGGAAAACCGCATGTGGGACCCCCCCGCGTGATAACCTGGAGGGACGGAGCCTCCCTGCCTGCTGTGGGACCCCCCAGGCTGCATCCACCTAACCTGTGAGTTCAGAGGCTCCTCAGTGTCCCCGCTCCTCCCAGGACCTGTGTGGACACAAGTGGACAAGAGGGCGTCAGGGCCGAGCGCCTGTGAAGGGGATGGAGCAGAGCCGCTCCCGGCTCAAGCAGCCCCTCCCATGTCCCCCAAACAGCAGCCCAGGTCCTGGCTGACAAAGGAGGCCTGAGGGGAGCTTCACATGCCACCAACCCCACCGCCTGCCTACCTCCCAGGCTGTGTGGGTCCCACAGTCCCAATCCTGGCCACCAGCCACCCTACTCTCACCTAGTTCTTCAGAGACGCCGTCTCCCGGGGTGTTGGGCGACCATGGCTGGGTGGGAGCCACGTCTGACACGTTCTCCCCAATGCTGATGCTCTCCTCCCCGCAGCCTGAGCTGAGGGAGGACAGAGATGGCCCCACTTCTACAGGCAGCTGTGACCCACAGTCCAGCACAGTGCTCTGTGCTCCCAGGCTGAGCGCTGACTGGGACGTGTGGCCAGCGGGGCTCTGTTGGGGCCTGGGTGTGTTGGGCTCAGCTTCTGGTGAGACAGCCCCCAGCATCATGTGGGACGGAGGGACGGGTGTATGGGTGTTCCACCGTGGCCGGGTGGAAACCACGTCCGACACAGGCTCCCCCAAGCTGATGCTGGCGTCAGACACGTGTCTGTGGGTGTTCCACCGTGGCCGGGTGGGAACCACGTCCCACACAGGCTCCCCCAAGATGATGCTGGCGTCAGACACGTGTCCATGGGTGTTCCACCGTGGCCGGGTGGGAGCCACATCTGACACATTCTCCCCGACCCTGATGCTGGCGTCGGACACGTGTCCATGGGTGTTCCACCGTGGCCGAGTGGGAGCCACTTCTGACACAGACTCCCCCAAGCTGATGCTTGCATCGGACACGTGTCCATGGATGTTCCACCGTGGCCGGGTGGGAGCCACTTCTGACACATTCTCCCCGACCCCAATGCTGGCGTCAGACACGTGCCCGTGGATGTTCCACTGTGGCCGGGTAAGAGCTGTTTCAGAAGCATAGCCCCCTGTGGGAAGACCACCTCCTGACTCATGCCCGAAGAGCTGCTCTGCGGGCTGGCTGCTCCCCTCCTTCAGAGCGGCACGCCTGGGTGGGTGTGAGGGGGACAGAGCCACCTGCAAGGTGGAGCCACAGGCATCCAGCTTCCCACAACTGTCCTCCCACAGCTGTGGCCCTGAGCTGCCCAAGTTGCACTCTGCAGCCTGCAGGGGTCCTGGTGCAGGTGAAGCGGCCACAGCTGGCCTCAGGACAGTACTAAAGTCGTACTCCTGTGGCCTGGAAGGCTGAGTGCTGGCTGCTGCGGGTGCCTCCCCAGGAGCTGAGGGGGGCAGGTCCAAGTTGATGGTCTGCAGCGCTGCCTCCAGGAGAGGGACCATGCCAGTCTGCACGGACTGCTCAGCCCCTGGGCCCACAGGTAGGAAGTCTCCAATGCTGAGGCTGTCAGAGAAGGGTCCGGCCTCCTCCGCCTGCTGCAGCCCTGTGCCACCAGCCCCCATTGCTAGAGGCTTAAGGGACTGTGGGGTCGGCAGGCCTGGCCCGTTCGGGCCATCCCAGGCAGCTGAGTGTTGCTCCGCAGGCCCAGCATCACAGCCTTGGTCTCCCTCTGGGTCCTCAGGGCCCGGAGATGCGACCTGAAACACAAGTGACATCAAGACCCAGTCTGGTCTCAGGCTCCCCCAGCCCTCGAACTGTCCCCCAAGTTCAGCTGTGCAGCCATGACCGACATGAGGTGCCCAGGGCTATGGGGAAACCACCAGGCCCGGCACCCCTGGCTCAGAGCTAGGGCACCCTGGGTTCCGCTCCGCCGCTCACCTGGGGGTACACTCACCTGGGGGTGCAGGCTCACAAGGACGCCTGGCGGCTCCTGGGACTGGTGAGCCTCAGGCATTGCTTTCAGCATCTCCTGTAAATTCAAGCCAGAGGGGTGAGCAGCAGAGCTGGAGTCAAGCACGGCCCCTACTGCCCATGGCAGCCGTGTGTACTGAACCAGACAAGGCTTGTGCTGGGCTCCACTGGGACCCTGGGCCTGCAGAAAGTACTTCAAAACCACGAGCTCCTCACCGCCTGTATCTGTGCAATTTGGTGGCACGCAGGGAGAGAGACAGTGCTCTGTTGCAAACACGAGAGCCACCAGCCCTCTCCTAGAAAGGCACACAGGTCTGTGTGCAGTCTCGGGGGTGCCCAGACCCCCAAAGCCCAGGGAAAGAGCTGCCACCTAAAGCCACAGAGATACCTGAATGTGTTTCTCATCTTCTAAGAGAAAACGAAGCCGTGCACTCTCCAGTCGGTGCCTCTGGATTCGCCACAGCGCCTTCTGCTCCCGACGAGCTGCCTCTGCAGAGAGCTTGCTGTAGTGGTCGACCAGCGCCTGCCTGAAGCCACACCCAGAGAGGACACGGCCACAAGAGTCACCCCACCCCATCCACCTGGTGCCTCTCAGGCCAGGATGGTTCCCCCTAACAGAGGCCCCAGTGGGCCCTTGCCCCCTAGTCTCCCCCTACCAGGGGCTGATAGCTCTGGACCCTCACAGCACCTGCAGGGCAGCACCAGGCAGGCCCTTCCACCTGCCAGGCTGGGAGACCCTGGTGAGTCGGTGCCCAGCCGGGGCTCAGCAACGTCTGCTGGATGAATAGCGGAATGAGATCCTGTGTGGCCTGAAGCAAGGGGTGAGCAGGAGGCCGAGGGCCCCAGGCCCCGAAGACGTAAGGCCTTTTCCCCTTCTACAGGTACAAAGCTGAGAACTGAAGACTAATGCAAAAAAGCACGTGAGGCAAAACCAACACAAACGCTTTATTTGCTGAACTCAAAGCCTGCCTCACTGTGCCCCATGATTTTGAGCTTCTCACCAGCAGGCAACTGGGCTCAAACCTGGACTGGCCAGCTCTAATTTGGCTGCCACAGGCCAGAGACATAGTGTCTAGGCCTGGTTTTATCCATGTGTTAACAGGACAGTCTCCACTGACATACGTGAACAGGTACGCATGCATAAATGCATACACAGACGTGCTTGCACACAGGCACGTGCACCCCTCCACACATATCCCTCAGGGGCTCCATAAACAGATCTAAGGTTGGGACAACAGCATTGCGTGGCGCAGAGCAGGAAGCGGCCAGCCCCTCCCATAAGAGGCTCTCTCCAAAACCCCGAACAGCCCCTTGAAGGCTCCAGCACTACTCAGCCTAGGGACAGGCTGATGACAGCACAGGGAGACAGACTCAGATGCCGAGTGGGACAAACACTCTGTCTCGGTCAAGCGCAGTGGTTTGCGCCTGTAATCCCAGCACTTTGGGAGGCCGAGGCAGGTGGATCACCTGAGGTCAGGAGTTTGAGATCAGCCTGGCCAACATGGTGAAACCCCATCTCTACTAAAAATACAAAAAATTAGCTGGATGTGGTGGCAGGCACCTGTAATCCCAGCTACTCGGGAGGCTGAGGCAAGAGAATTGCTTGAACCTGGGAGGCAGAGGTTACAGTGAGCAGAGATTGTGCCACTGCACTGCAGCCTGGGTGACAGAGCGAGACTCCGTTTCAAAAAAGAAAAAAGAAAAAAAGCCCTGTCTCAGACCAATAACAGACTTAAAAATAAACAAGGGGGGATGTTTAGAAAGAAGATAGAGACAGGACCCCAAACAATATGCAGGCCTCGCCTGGACCCTAATCCATACAAACTACCCACAAGACAACATGCAGGACGGCTAAGGACACCTGGATATGGCAGAATGGCCACAGCCACTCTGGGTTCAGTATATTGCTTTTTCTACCTTAATGTTGAAGGTTTTCAAAAAAAGTGAAATCATCAGTAAGATTAAGCCAGAGCTACGGGGCCCCTGCCACACTGCACCAAGCCTGGAGCCCCGGCTGCCCTACCTCGCCTTCCTCTCCAGCTCCTCCTCCAGGGACTTCAGCCTCCTTTCCCTGTCTCGGAGTTCACGGGCGTAGCTGAAGTCATCATCCAGCTCCTCCTGCCTGGCCGCCTGGCGTCGCTATAAAACACAGCCTGGCCTGTGAAATCAGGACTCACGGGCCTGACCCCGCAGGGACAGGTCCTACCCACCTCCTGGTCCTTCACAAACTGTTCTTTCAGCCTCTGAAACTGCTCGCGCTTTCGGGCGTCCAAGGCCATCCGTTCTGACATCTGCCGGTCTACATAGGGACAGTAAGGGGTGCAGTGTCACAAGGAGGCCCCAGCAAGGACCCCCGAAACTGCAGAAGGGAGGACTTGGGGCCACTCACCACTCAGTGCACTCAGGACCCTGGATGCTGCTTCCCGGGCATGAGCAATTAATTCTTGTTTTGCAATTTCCATACGTAATTCCTGAGAAAGACAACTGGTTAAACAAAGCATCCTGGCCAGGCGCAGTGGCTCACGCCTGTAATCCTGGCACTTTGGGAGGCCAAGGTGGGTAGATCACCTGAGCTTAGGAGTTTGAGACCAGCCTGGACAACATAGCAAAACTCCACCTCTACTAAAAATACAAAAATTAGCCAGGTGTGGTGACGGGCGCCTGTAGTATCAACTATTTGGGGGGCAGGGGGTGGGGGGAGTTGAGGCAGGAGGATCTCTTGAGCCTGGGAGGTGGAGGCTGCAGTGAGCCATGTTCGAGCCACTGCACTCCAGCCTCCTGGCCCACACAGTGAGACCCTGTCTCAAAGAAAAAAAAACCTAATCCTCTGACCCCTCACCTAGGATGCCCAGGACACCTGTGGACTCAGGGCCGGCAGGGGAGACACATGGTCCAAGGGTTCGGGGAGGGACCAGGTGATGGCAGGACACCCCCCCCGCCACCCCTCCCCCACCCCCAGGCTCTCAGCAGTGACAAAGCTGGCTCCAGGCCATGGACGGGAGCTGACCAGCTCTCACAGAGACATCTGGGGCTGAGGACCCCAGGCTGTGTGTGCCTACCCTGGAAGGAAACCAAGGGGCCTAAGAGAGGGGGCTTCCCCACTCAGCCTCATAGGCCTGCCCCTGCCCAGGTATCCCTGCTGCCCACCAGGCACTGGGCCAGAAACGGTGTTCCTCGGAATGGCACTGACTGTACTACCGAGCCCCTCCCAGAGGACACAGGAGAGGCGTGGCTCGTCCCTGACACACTGTCCCTTCCCAGCAGAAGGGGGACTTGCAAAGGCCATCTGAGTACAGGACCACAGGCCCTGCCGCCCTGGAGTGCAGCCAGGACTGTCTGTCCACAGCCCGGCGGCCCAGCGGCAAGCCCAGCATAGTTTCCCACGCCAGCAAAACCTGGGCTTCAGGCTGAGCCACCCAAACCCAGGAGGAGAGAACAGAGCCCCTGCCTGGCATCTGGCTCCAGGATATTCGTCTCAGCTCCCCCTTGGCACCCCCCCGGCACCCGCAGGATAGAAAAATGCCAGAAGGAAGGCCCCATCTTGCACAGCCCTCACGGTCCACCCCACCAACCTGAGACCCAGGAAGCAGAGGTGGGGCAAAGAAGCCCCGAGACCCATGGTGCCACGCACCTTCTCCTCCTTGCTGACAGAGCTGTGGCGGGCCACCTCTCCATGCGCCCGACGTAGACAGCACAGTCCTTCTCAATCTCCTTCAACTCCTCGAGGGAGAAAATCACCGGAGATCCGGGGACGGGACGTCGGACCAACAGAGATAATGCTGCCAAAGGCGATGTAGGCCACGCCACCAGCATTCAGCCCCAGCCTCAGACTCAGCCCGGGAAGACTGGCCCTCCCCTCCCCATGCATGAGGCCCCTCCTCACCCGGGGGCAGCAGAGTTTCAAGCAGGTTAATGGTCTTCCCGCAGACGTACACGTCGTGGCAATGTGCTTCAGAAACACGGGACACAGTCCTCCACCTCTTTGGAGATGAGCACGTAGCCATGGTGTCCAGTACGACTATCTAAGGTGGGGAGAACACCAGGTGGCCGACATGGCCGTGGCCCTGAGCCCAGGCCCACAGGCACGGACCCCTGCCCCGCAACCAGCCTGCCACCTACCTCGGAAGCTGAGGTACTCGTGTTCACCTGAATCATGAACTCGCCATAAGCGTCTCTGAACACGCCGCTGTACACCCAGTCGTGGATGAACCTGCAATCGGGGAGCAGCAGGGGTAGGCACGGTCAGCAGAGAGGTAGGTGGGGCCGGCAGTGAGGGCAGGGTGGGCGAGGCTGTAAGGGGCGGGATGGAAGTGTGGCGGTAAGGGCGGGGTGGGCGTGGTCGTCAGTGAGGGGGTGGGTGGGTGTGGCGTCAGCAAGGAGTGAGGGGGTGTGGCCATCCATGAGAAGTGGAATGGAGCTGGGGGCAGGGTAGGGGCTGTGGAGTGGGGTTGGGGTGGGGGGTTGGGGTCTCCTGCCAGGCCACCTTCCTGCCTCTCCTTCCTGTGTGATCCCCACATTCAGCAGGTGTCTGACAAGGGACTGCTCTCAAATGTCTGTCTGGTGGGAGTGCATGCCCGCCCAGCCACCGCCACCGGCCACGCCCACCGGGTGTAGGGCTCGCAGCTGGTCTTCAGCAGGGACAGCAGCACAGGGTAGTGCTCGTTGCTGCAGTTGTGCAGCGCCTCCTGGTAGAGGTAGGACAGCAGCTTCACACCCTGCAGACCACAAAGGGGGCGGGGGGGGGGCAGCTCAGTGCACCCAGCCCTGGGAGTCAGATGCAGCCCTGCCGGCAGCAGCCCCCCAGGGACACGCTCAGTCGCCCCCTTTCCTGGAACCCGCCAGGCTGACACACTCGGCAGGGACACACAACTCACGGTGGGAAACGCAGCCCTGGGGCCTCCTCCGCAGGTGCCTGGGAGCACAGCACCAACGCCACAGAGCTCGGCCAGGTACCTAGACCCAGAGGCAGGATCAGACCAGGTGACCGGGCTCAGGGTCCCCAGGCCTGGATCAGATCATGAGCAAAATCTCCATGTATCTTCATGCTCCCTGGAGCAACTGACTTCAGATGCAGGCTTTAAAAACCACATGCACCCCAACGACCCAGAAATGGGCTCCCTGGAGGACTTGTGCCCAGCCCTGGGCCTCCGCGCTGTCCACACAGACCCACTGAAATACCCACACCCAACAGGCCCCTCCCTCCCAGGCTCTGGCCAACACACCAATCACCCTGATCCTCCCACTTCCGGGGGCTGCACCTGAGAGCCCCTCCCATCCACACAGTGGCACCAAGCACCTGCCACAACTCACGCCTTCACAGCCCAGGCTCCCCTGCCCCACGGTGTCTCAGCCCTTGGGTCTCCTCAGGGCTGCCACATTCTGCTCCCCTGCCTGGAAGGTCGCCCCTCCCACTGCTCCCAACGCCCAACTCCTCACTCTTCCTTGTCCGACAGCACTTGCCAGTAGCTCCCCAGCCTGGTTGCTCAGTAACCAGCTTGTGTGTACCAGAAGCCACATCCCTAGGGACCCTGTGTGCCAATTAGGCAGGAGCCACCAGGCCTGGAGGGCCTGGATGGGACCAGCTGTGGTAGGCCCATGGCAGACACACCCACTCTGCCTGGCACCTGGTGAACTCGGCCAGCCAAGGGCCGTCCAGTCACCTGCTGAGGGCTGTTCTCACAGGCCCTCCTTGCCAGGAAGCAGAGCAAACCCTCCATCACCCAGCAAGCTCCATGCCACTCCTGCAAAGTCCCCTGCTCAGTCGCCATGCTGAGGCTCACCTGAGCTGCCGGCCCAGTTTCTTGAAGAGAAAACCAATGGTGAGGAGGCTCAGGGTGGGCGAAGTGGAAAGGACGCAGGCCCGATAATACTGCAGGTACCTCCTCAGGCCACTGGTGAAGGCCTGTGGGCAAAGAGGCTGGGAGGAGGGCGGCCAAGCACATGGACGCAGGTGTGACCAGGGCCTGAGGGGCACCAGTACTGGGCACAGCGCTTTGTTTCCTGCCTCAGCTCTGGGCTCCATTTCCAAGCAATGAGCCTCTGTGAGCCACGTCCCACCACTGGACCAGGTGGAAATGTGGCCCGTCCACAAGAAGCCAGAAGCTGTGGCCCCCCCACCAACCCTTCCTCTCATCTGAGACCAGCTGCCCCAGGGGCGTGGCATAGGGGTTGAGGGGTGAGGGGGGAAATGGTGGCTACGCTCTGTGCACAGACACTAGTGCTGTGAGAGCTGTGTCTGCTTGGACCACAGTGGTCTCAGTGGCACCAGCATCCTGGGCAATGCCACAGCAGCAGGCCCTGCAGGTCACACCAAGACAGGCGCACCCTGGACCAATCTCAGTCCACCCACCCCAGAACCCGCCTGGCCACGCCTGCCAGATGAGCGGGAACCACAGTCCAGCCCTTCTCAGTGTCCCTGCTCTGCCCCCTTCTCCACCATCTCCAGCCCTCAAGTCCCCCAGGGCTGAGCCTCTGCCTAGAAGCTCTCCCCGTCCCATGCAGCTCCCACCATGCCCACCTCTACAGCCCGTCTAAAACCTAAACCTCACCACATCACCCCACCCTACAGCCCCTGCTGTGGCAGCAACAGTTGAAGGAGGCTGCGCCGCCTGGCTCCTCCAGTGCTCTCTGCCCACCTTCCCAACACCCTCCTCTCAGCCCCCAAATTACCCATCATCCGCCTGCCTATTCTCTCCCAATCAAGGTGCAGCCTCTGTCCCATGGGTCTCTACTCAGCATATGAGCCAGCTTCAAGACTCACCAAAGAGCGGCTTCCGGAGCCAGACTTGGCTCAGAACGCCCAGCAATGTAAATTCACCCAACACGAGGGCCGGGCAGTGTCAGTCATCCGCAATGTGCCGGGCCCACTGGGGAGTAGGCGGCAAGAGCCCCACTAACGCCTTTCCTGCCTCGCATGCCCCGAATGCTGGCTGCACCTGCCTCCCACACACCCCAGGGCCCACACGCATCTGCCCCAAGTTTCCAGTGAGGTAAAACATCTTCACTGACCCATCCCTCACAAGCCACTATCGGGTTTCAGATGTTAGCAAGGAAAGAAAAGGTTTAGACTGTCTGGTCCTGCAGAAGGACTTCTGAGATTCTCTTTTCCAGGTCGTGTGCACCGTTCTCACAAGGATGTGTGACAGCCACGAGGCAGAGGCCGTACCTGGAACACGAGGCCCTTGCTGTACGAAGAGTCCAGGACCGGCTGCAGAGAGAAGTGACTCAGGCGCGTGTAGCAGGTCCCATACTCGGCCACCTCCGAGAGCAGGCTGCTGATGCTCTCGGGAGACGCTCCCGACACGTGGACACCCCGCTTCACCACAAAGGCCTGGGCCGGCTGCACAGGGGTAGAGGACACTGCTCAGAGGCCAGGCACCCAGACCCCCAGGAAGATGCCATCTCCCTCCACCCTTGCACCCAACCCCACACCACCTAGAGTGCCCCCAGGACCCAAAAGCAAACGCCCAGAAGGCGCACCCAGAACTCCTACACTGAGGGACAAAAACATACAAACCAAAACAAGGCACAAATTCTCACCACACTGAAAAATACATGTTTAAAATGCCAAGTGTAGAAAAGGGTAGGAAACAACAGAACACCTTCCACAGGACACAAGTACATAGACAGCCTCCTAGGGCAGAAGCTATAAAACATGTTTGCCGTGAGACCCGCTCATTCAGCTCTTCGGGATGAAACAGCGGAAACGATGGAAGATGCACAAAGACTTGCCACAGCACATTCCCCGCAATGTGTTTGTAACCAGAGAGTGGAGACCCCCAGTAGAGGGCTCACGACAACCGAAACGAACGGGGTGCAGCAGAAGCCAGGAGGGAGGTTACAGCTGCAAATACGCACGTTAGAAAGGAAAAGAGATATCCCACGTCACAAGGAAACGATACTAAATCACAACAGCACTGTGTATATCCTAAAGAGATATTTTAAAAAGAGCTGTTAGGCCAAGCACAGTGGCTCACACATATAATCCCAGCACTTTGGGAGGCTGAGGCAGGAGGATCACTCGAGCCCAGGAGTCTGAGACCAGCCTGGGCAACATAGCGAGACCCCCATCTCTACAAAAATTTTAAGTTAGGCCAGGCATGGTGGCTCACGCCTGTAATCCCAGCACTTCAGGAGGCCGAGGCGGGTGGATCACTTCAGGTCAGGAGTTCGTGATGAGCCTGGCCAACATGGCAAAGCCCCGTCTCTACTAAAAACACAAAAATTAGCCGGGCATGGTGGTGTGCACCTGTAGTCCCAGCTACTCAGGAGGCTGAGGCAAGAGAATCGTTGAATGTGGGAGGCGGAGGTTGCAGTGAGCTGAGATTGTGCCACTGCACTCCAGCCTAGGCGACAGAGTGAGACTCCGTCTCAAAAAAAA